GAGGGTCAGGGCCTTTCCTTCCATTAACTTTTAATGGGCATTACAAGGTTTAACTGCTGTTTGGGTCTGTGACATCCTTCCCCTATACCCAGATTTGGCACCCCCCGCGAAGGTGTTCTGATCACTAGGGCTGCCGAGTACCTGCTGTGACTCCTGTGGAGTTCAGCAGCATTTGTGAGCACTCTGCATATCGGATCCTTTTTATCTAGTGTCTCGCTAGGGCTGTAAGAGCCCAGCTTGAGGGACCTAGGTCTGAAAATGTTGCCCTGTAAGAAAGGTGATGAAACACGTCCCCCAGTCGTAAGCAATAAATCCACAGTTAGTGCATCACTAGGCGTGTTTACTCCTTGGGTATCCTGCAATACATCTGAAAACCAGTCAAGACTCGGGGCTGACATGTGACAAAGCTTCAGGCTGTCTCCAGGAGCAGACAGGGAGGACTTGATCCTGACAGGAAAGTTCAGTGTGTGCTTTAACTTCAAGTGCACTGAAGTAGCTGTGACAACTTGCATGCGTGATGTTAGGCGCGTGCGTAAGTGCTTTGCTGTACTGGCTTGACACATGGCATGACCGAGTCCATGGAGAGTCAAATTATTTTGTTAGGTGGGTCACAGCTTCACTGAGAGAGTCTCTCGTGGACACATCCATCCCCCTTCGCCTTCGCGTGGCAGCCCAAGCGATGGCTTACATGGAAAAGGAGCATACGGGGAACATACAGTGAGCGTTAGGCTACTAGAGAAGTGGAAAGCTGGTTCCATGTGAAAAGCCAGCCCTTTGTAAGCCAACATCGCACTGTTGCTTCCTGGACCACCGCCAGGAACCTCTGGCATAGACAGTTTATTGGGAACTTTATATTTTTTTTTATTTTTTCACCGGTGTTTTCTATTATTCATCTCATCTGTAACGGGGGTACAAAGTGCTTGCACACATACGGATTTCTCCCCTCCAAACTTTTGGAAGGTAAATCAGGATTTATTCTCCCCTATTTACAGATGGAGGAACGGACACAAAGACCCAGCTTACAAGGTAAAGCCTGCAAAGATTTATTAGTGCGCCTAGTACTTAAGGCAGAGAGTGCAGAAGATAGCGAGTGCAAAGCTCCGTGCTAAATGTTTACAGGATTGGGCCACGTTTTCAGGATTTACACCTTGTGGACTGGTCTCCACTAATGGGGAAAGTCGACCTGAAGGATCTTAAATTGCGTTTTGGCACCGTCCACTCAGCAGGAGGTCGACGGGAGCACATGTTCCCGACCACTTCCCTTACCCCTCATGAGGAGCAGGACTAGCGGCAGTGATGGGGGAACCCTCTTAGTTCGATTTAGCGGGTCTTCAGTAGAGCTGCTAATCTGAACCTCGGAAGATCAACTGCAGCAGCATCCGTCTTTTCCAGAGTGTGGACAAATCACAGCTGAGTGATTTGCTCAAGCCCACACGGTGAATTTGTGCTGGGGCTGGGATTAGAGTTTGGATATTGCAATGCTCCAGGCCAGTACTCAGACCAAAAGACCATCCTGCTTGTCTGTGTGTGTGCGTGCGTGCGGGGAACCAGACTCTTTCCATTGGAGTTTTGGAGCCAAACTAATATGATTATTTCACTGAATTTTTTTTTCCTGATCCTATGTGGCTAATTCCTGTCAGAGGGAGCATGATGCAGAATTCTACCCCAACCCCGGCATCTTTCCAAAAACGGTGGGAGATTTGTCACAATGGGAGTCCTGGCCAGGCCTGAGAATGTCTGCCTGCCCTCTCAGGGTATGTCTACACTACAAGGGTATTTTGAAATAAGTTGTTTTGGAATAATAACTCCCGAAATAACTATTTCGAAATAGCATGTCCAAATTACAGGAAAGCTTCTTAATTAATCTGAGGCAGGCTCCCCTAATGTGGACGTACCACCTCAATTTAGAGCCCTAGAGGCATGGGGCGGGGGGAGGAGGGTAATTGCTTTGAATGGCCCTGGGCAGGAGCTATTTTGAAATAGCAGCAGTGGAGCGTCCACACTACTGCTATTCCGGAATAGGCATTATTCCTTGTGAAATTAGGATTTATTATTCCAGAATAAGAAGCCTGTTATTTCAAAATAATTCCGAAATAACGGGCTTGCCGTGTGGACACTCACCTTGTTATTTCGAAATAACGTGAGTAACTCATAGAGTTTACAATGGGGCCTGTGTGCGCACATGCACAGAAAGGCCATATTACTCCTGCTCATGACTTGCATGTTATGTGAACGGTACCAAAGCGGGAGTGCACCTTAACACTGCTTTTGTCATTCCTGTACCTATGGGGACACACACATACACACAAGTGCATGTGCGCATACGCCATGCAACAATGGCAAAGAATTCTACCTAGCCCTGATCTTTTGAAAAACAAAAAGAAGAAAAACAATGAAAGCAACAAGATACTGAGGGAATTGTGGTCTTCCTCCAGAAGTGACAGCAAAACACCCCGCCCCCCCCCAACAAAAAAAACCCCTCTTTCCAAAGCGCTGGCAGGTAAAGCATTCAAATATGGGTAACAAATAAAGCAAAGCAAATTTGATCTAGCCCAAAGTTAACATCATATGCACTCAACGTAGCCAGAGGCTGTGTACAACCGCTGCATTATTTCTCTTTATGTACAATTTCAAATATGTATAGAAACAACTAATTAAACACATAATGATACTTTGAAATAATGTTAAGAATGTGACAAGAGGAAAGAAGAGAGAGAACCACCAACAGCCCGGACATTCCAAGCTTTACCCATTATGGAGGGAAGGGTTGGGTTCAAATGATGCTCACGGAAGAGCCTTGATTACACAGTCCACCTCTGCTCATCACAGCACTTAAACGTGCTAATTTCCCATTCAAATGAATGGGACCTAGCCATGTTTTCCTGGGCAGAGGTGGCTTGCTGAGTTGGGCCTATGTGTTCAACCCCACAGTGAGGTCTGCTTGGGTCTGACTGGAGGATTGGGAGTCAGTTATGCTGTGGGGCAGTTGAGGAAAAGGAAAACTAGGTAAAACGCTAGTCAGGAACAACGTTCCCTCTAATCTTTTCCATTTGCGTGTGGATTTTTTCCACCTGTGTATGGAATAATTTTATGTGCACTGAGGCATCTAGGAATGTGCACCACATGTAGAAACAAAACCCTAGATAATCAGTTGGGCAGGATTTGAATCTCTCCTGAGTGGCTGCACAAGTGCCCAGCATACAGGGAACACTGTGTGCATGGTGGGGTCCAGTAAACTCTGAAATCTGGGCACTAGCATAGTTGGTGTCCCAATCATAATGTTATTTCCATGGTAACTTCATTTGAACTGAATTCCCTTTATCCCCAAAGAAAACCAACTACAGAAGTTAATTAAAACACCCCCTATTATACACCCATCAGTTGGGAGCTGTTCATACCTTGTCAAGTCTGGCAAGGTAATATGTCCTCATTCAGGGTTATATGTGATGTATTATTATTGTTTTTACATGTGTATTATGTACCCGATAAACTGGACCAGCTCTGAAAGAAGAAAGAACTGGCTCATTAGTTAAGTATTTCTATCTTTTTGTTTGTTTGTATTGTTAAAAAACTGTACAGCTTCTACTGCCTGGAGAACACTGAAGCATAGAGAGCCTGCTGTCTACCAGGGGAAACGTGTACGGAATATTTGTATTTTTAAAAGTGTGTTACCGCAACAGAGCAGATTGGAGCCATCTGATCTCTCCGTATTTGGTATCACGTCTATTGGCAGTAGAGGCCATCGCTCTGCTAGGGATGGTCATATTTAAAAACAGGCTATGGGAAAAGTTACTTATGCATGCATAACAGGCCTATTTCCATACATTAGCCACTCAGGCATCAGAATCTCTATGAAATACCAAAAAAATGTGGGCTAGGTGATTGCAACATTTCATTTAAATAGGTAAACAAAATAAAACAAGACATGCAGCCAGTTGTGGATTACAAAGCCACGGGTGTGCAAATAAAAGAGCACACAAGCTATTTTTTGCATCCCTATAACTTTTTCCTTCAAAAGGGCCTCATAGGAATTATTAGGAAAGGCAGAGGTTGTAAAAAGAAAAAGAAAAGTATGGGTAGAAATGGTTTGCAAGGCTGAGACTCTATTCTCATTTTGAACCCAGGAGGGGGGAGAGGGCTTCTAAACCCCAGAAAACGGGGCTTCAGGCAGTGCATGGGGAGCAGCCAGCCATGGACGGTCACTATTAAAGCAAACATAAGAATGGCTCTTTTAAAACCCATTAAATGCCATTCCCAGAACGGGTTCTACATTCGATACATCCCTATTCTCTTGCAGGTAAATCTCTGAAGAACCCTTTTGTCGCTTTTTTAAAAAGTGCTTTTTTGGGTTCTGCAGAAGGGAGGTGCATTGGAGATTTTTTTTTTTTTTTGGAGTGACATTCACATTCATTGCTAATAGGCCTCCTACTCTAAAATAAGTGCTAGTTTCATTTACAATTCAGGGTAAACACGTTTTCAAATGTAAAGCAGTCGCAACTCTTTAAAGCACAAAGATAGGCAACCAGAGTGATGCAAGAAAAAAAAAACAAGCACTTTGCCAAGAATTAAATAAAGCAGGTAATAAATATGAATCATAAACTTCTGTACACAGGAAAAAGGGTTTGCTTTTAATCATTTAATCAATATTAAAAAAGATTTTTTTTGTTTTCAGTGCATCTTCTTCTCCCTTAAAACACTTAACCTTTTCCTTTCTGCATCTCTCAAGCATCTATGAACACACACCTAAATGGCAAAAAAGACAAGGTCTAACAAACCCCTTTCCAAAAAACTCTAAAAAAATATTCACAGCCTCAAACATTTTTGTACATTTCAAGCAACAAAAGGTATAGAAAAAGGCACAAGTAACTGCATACATGTGGAGATAATACCAGACGGGGAGAAAGAAAACCAGGAATCTTCCATGGATTTGGTCATACACTAGAGTGCATCTTATAGCGATGATTATACGAAAGGAAATAGTGTTGAAAATGTCTGTTGATTTACATAGGAAGCCTAGAGGTGGAACAGATGAATGGAGGCTTAAGTACTTCCTGTATTCTCATCCACCTGCCTTGGAGTTTGACTGAACCGGTTCCCCCTTGATGACTTGGCTCTCCCGAGAGGTTCCTCCTCCTGATGGAGAACTGGTGGGGGTGTGAATGGCTCAGTGAGGGCTCCGACAAGCAGCCGGTGCTGCTGCTCCTGTCTAGTGTCTGTGCGGGGAAATCTGAGATGAAAGTGCAGGATGATTCAAAGTAAGTGCTTGAGCTGCCACATTGCTTCTTGCTCGTTTTTTTCAAGGGTTCTTCCCCGCTTGTTGAAGGCTTTGGAGAGTGCTCATAATTTGTGCTCGGACAGTCGCTGGGAGCTGAGCAGCCTTCCTGCTCTGAGCAGCTGGGCTCAGTGTACTTTTTTACCCTGTATTCCTCCTGGTCCGTCTTTTGCTGATGTTCACTAGTCCTCATTTTCTCTTCTAAGTAGCTGCTGCCTTTACGCTGTGGGGACCGGGTGTATTTAGAAACCTTTGCAGCTGGGGAGACAGATGAAGATTCTGGTGGGACCGGCAGTTCCTGGCCTCTTTGCTCAGCCTGGCTGAATTCTGTAAAGCTACTGCTGCAGCTGCCACCAGGTGCAAAATATCCTGCTTGTAGGGACACAACTGAACTGGGCACCAAACTGGGATGGGTGCTTGGCCTGGCCTGGACCATTTGGATGCCCCCAATTGGAATCATCGGGTACGGAGTCCTCGTTAGCTGCTGTGAATGCAACGGGAGATGGCTGAAGACATTCTCTTCCCCTCGGCTCGGAGCATGGGCATGTAGTTCATGGGGCGCTTGCAAGGGTCTGGAGCAGACAGGCTGCGTGGTGCCAGGCGAACATGCTGGGCTTCGAGGTTCTATCTTCTGCATTTGAGAGAGAGAAAAAAAGAGTTGAGTCCGTGAGGGCTTCTAGCATCCTCAGTGCACGGGCTGAGCAACAACGGACTGGCTTTATCACCGCTTTGCGGTCATACAAAGGGATGAGCCCACCTCAGGTGACAGGCTGCACCACAAAATTTGATTCTGGACTCAACCAACCACAAAGACTGGCAGGGTACGGAGCTGGGGGTTTGATTCAGGCCCATCTCTATGTCAGAATCTTTCCCAAAGCTTCCCCTTACCCCTGGGGAATTTGAAACAGCAAAAACACACAAGAGACACTCTTCTTTCTACATTCTAAAACCCCCCAAAAACCAAACAATGGGAACTTAAGAACAACTTGCAACTTCTCTATCAGCTTCATGTAGCATGGAGGCTCTAAGGCTGTGGTCTCCAACCTTGTTACACCCAAGATCACTTTTTAAATCTCAGAACAGGTGAATATCTATCGCCCCTCCCCTTCCTTGAAGCTCCGCCCTTTCTATTCTCCTCCTGTCCATCACTTGCTATCCCCAGCCCTTACTTTCATACTCTGATAAATAGTTTATTTTTAAATTATACGATATATAAAATTAAAATCACGTGTTTAGAGTTGTGAAATAAATGGTCTGTTTTTTATTCATGCTATTTAAATCTAAAATGAAGCATTTATAATTATACATTTTGTGGGGACAGAGTTCTGTGGCTGGGGGCAGGGGAGAGGGAACAGGGTTCTGGGAGGGCAGAGGACAGGGTTCTGCAGCTGGGGACAGGGTGCCAGTGGGGACAGAGTTCGGGGAGTGGGGACAGAGTTCTGTAGCTGAGGACAGGGGAATGGGGTCTGGGGAGCGGGGAGTGCGGACAGGGGACGGGATGCCAGTGGCAGCAGAGAGTCCCCTCCATCTGCCTCCTTCCAGGATTCCCCTCGATCCCCCCCCCAGAGGGAAGCCAGCACGTGCCTCCTCCGGGCCCGACTCCCCCCCTCCCCCCGCGGTGCAGGGAAACCCCATGCATGTCTGCCCCGGGGCCAACCCCTCTCCCCGCAGCAGGGCCCAAAGCCCCCTCCCGCGGCGCGGCCAACCCCCTCCCGCAGCACGGCCAACCCCCGCGGGCGCCTGCCCCAGGGCCAAATCCCCCTCCCGTGGCACGGCACGGCCTGGTCAAGCCGGCCAACCCCCACAGGGGCCTTCCCCAGGGCCAAGCCGCCTCTCCCGCAGCAGGGCCAACCCCCCGCGGGAGCCTTCCCCGGGGCCAAACCCCCCTCCTGCTGCGCGGACAAACCTCCGTGGGAACCACCCCAGGCCAAACCCTGGGGCCGACCTCCACTCCCGCGGTGCAGAGAAATCGTGATCGACGGGTTGGTGACCACGGCTCTAAGGGTAGATCTGCTCTGCAAGCTTCTTTCCAAATAAGCTTTTCTGGAAGATGTCTTCCAGAAAAGCTTATTTCGAAATAGCGCATCCATACTACAGGGAAGTCTCCAAATTAGTCTGAGACCGGCTCCCTTAATGTGGATGTGCTACCTCGATTTAGAGCCCCAGGAAGCACTGGGGAGGAATAACGTAGAATGGCCTTGGTGAGGGGCTATTTCAATGGAGCAGCAGAGGAGCATCCACACACACCCTCTTCCAAAAGCTTTGTCATACGAAGCGTTGTTCCTCGTGGAATGAGGAGTACAGCTAGTTCGGACTAGGAAGCCTAATCCGAACTAGCTACTCTGTACCGCGTGTAGCCGCGCGGCACGGGGTTCGAACTGCCAGCATTAAAAAATGGCGCCGGCCGGCTTTATGCAAATGAAGCCCGGGAAATTCAAATCCCGGGCTTCATTTGCAAGTGCGGGATGCCTACATTACCCTCCTAGTTCGAATTAGGAGGGTAGTGTAGACATACCCTATTTCTTTCCCTTTTTTCCCTTCTCCCCACCTATTTATTTGGAAACTGGACCTTTAACAACTCCAGTCATCTGAAGAAATGGGTTGTGCCCATGAAAGCTCAGGATCCCATCTATACTTTTTGTTAGTCTTTAAGGTGTTATTAGACTATTCGTTGTTTTTTAGGTTTTTCCAGTTACAACCTTAGGGTATTGTCTACACTTGTACCTCTTTTGAGAGAGGGATGCAAATGAAGACATTCTAAATTGCAAATGAAGTCGGGATTTAAATATCCCATGCTTCATTTGCATATTTGCATTATAATGCTATTTCAAAGTAGCGCTATTTCAAAATAACAGACACCGTTAAGACGCGGTTATTTCAAGAGAAACCCTTCTCTCGAAATAACCCTTATTCCTCACACGAGGTTTACCAGTTATTTCGAGCGAAGGGATTTCTCTTGAAATAACTGTGTCTTAATAGAGTCTGTTATTTTGAAATAGCACCGTTTCGAAATAGTGCCATAACGCAAATATGCAAATGAAGCATGAGATATTTAAATCCCAGCTTCATTTGCAATTTCGAATGTCTTCATTTGCATCCCTCTCTCGAAAGAGAGTGCAAGTGCAGATATACCCTAATTCAGCTCCCCCTCTGAAGTTTCTATATTCTAGTTCTGATTTTTGCCTGGCACGCAAAGAGCAATAAAGTGACAGTTTTTGAAAATAAATATTTAACCCTAACAATTTTTAAGTACAAAGTGATTTTGGACTGAGTTTGAGTACTGAGGGATGGACAGGGTCAGTTCTTGTTTTATAGGAACTAATTTGCATGACCCTAATAATCATTAGTTAACTAGCCTAACATGGGTTCTTTGGTTTTGCCTGTTCATCTCTAGGGTCCCAATGCTGTCTCTATTTCCACATAGTTTTCTAACCTATGTCCTGTCCAGAAATGCGGGCTACACAGAAATGCATTCACAAGGGGATTTTTACAGCCACCCGCCAGACTGCGCCCTCAAAAGAAGGTGGTAGAAAAGATGATCTATAAAATCAGGCTGAATACAGAAACTAAGGATTTACTGCAGGGCACAGGGATGGTCTTTAGAGAACCAGCTGCTCCCGTGATGCTGGTTCTACGAGGGTAGCTGCAGCAACAGGGAAAGGAAAGCAAAAGGAGCCATTGCAAACGGATACCCCACGGCAGGCCGTTAAAAAACCCAAACACTTGTCTGATAGCCCCTTTCCAGGTAAGTTAGTGCCAGGGTTTCATGGGGCCATTACAGGCATGTTTGCACACGTAAGAAAACCCAGCCTAGCCGGCTTGGCTCTTAGGGCTCTGGCTGGGACCCTGGCAGGGGCCTGGAGCCCAAAAATCTCTGGGTTGGGTAATGAAACAGCCCCACAGCTCAAGCCCCATGAGGCCCATGAGCCAGCTGGCATGGGACGCGGTGGGCTTCTCTCTGCTGGGCAGACAGCCCTAGGCCAGAAGAACGCAGGGCGAAGGAGGAGGCCGTCTGTGCTAGGGATGTGAAGAAGCGAGTAAATAGCTAATCGTGTAGTCAACAGAATTTCTATCGACTACACGATTAGCTGATCAGGGCGGAAGCCTTCAGGAGATACCCCCGCTGTGGCTCTGCACTTTAAATGTCGTCAGGGCTAGGCGGGCAGGCAGCCCAGCTCCTACTACATTTAAGCTGCAGAGCCGCAGCACGGGGTAGCCCAGGGACCCGGTGCGAGCTGGAATTGATCTGGGCTTGCTGAGTAGCAGAGAGCTGGGACCCCCCATGGGCAGGGGCTGTTCTGCGGGATGTGGACCAGCCTGTTTGCAGCAAGCCTGGGCCTGGGCTCAGGGGAGGTGGCACTGCGGAGATGGTGCTGGGGGCACTGGCTCCTGCTCCTCACCCCGCTGCCTCTAACACAGAGGCAGCGAAGGGGGAGGGAAATGCGAGTAGTTGAGAGCATGGCTGTCAGACACCGCCACTCGGAACCAGCTGCTTTAATATCTTGGTCCAGCCAGTGAGACAAAAGGATTTCAGTGGAAGAACCTTTTGCTCCATGTTCCTTTATATCCACTCACCAGCTCTGATGCCTACATATGGGGAAACGCTTTGAATTTCAGAGAAGGTAGAATGACATTAGGCAGCAATTCCAGCCTCTACCTGCCCAGCAAACAGCAGAGTGCTCTGAATGGAAGCCTCTCAGGTCAGGGACTGTCTTGCTACAAGGTTGTTCAGAAGCTAACTTGATGGACACTGATTGCTTCTAGGGCCTCCAGGTTGGACTCTAATCAAAATATATAATCATTACACCGGGAGAAATGATACAACTGAGCTCTCTGGTTACTCTCAGGGACTCCAGATCAAACGCCATTCCTTTGTAAGGCACGAATCTGTTTTTCTAACTGCTGTCCCTGCAAACGACACCTGGGGTTGGAAAATTCAGCTCTGATCTTTCTGCCTTCTGCATCATCATCAGAAATAAAGATTCCTCAGTCTCTCATCGCTGGTCGGGTCCTGTAAGTCTAGTGGGAGGGAAAACTTCTGTGTCAGTGAAGTGAGCAGAGGAGACATGAGGATAGTCAGAGAGCAGAGAAATGGACTAAGAAGGGGGTCACTTTTCTGATTATAACCATGCTTTAAAGGGACTGGAGTATTTATCTTCCTGTTTGCCAGAAGCATCATTAGTGACATAGCCTGTTGTGTCGTTACAGTCTGGGAACCAGGTGAGTCAATTTGCGTGGGTTCGCTGCTGGTTGGAGAGCCACCTCTGCTGTACTCATTTCTAAGGGTTTTTTAATACTCCAGTCATCGGAAGAAGTGGGTTGTACTCACGAAAGCTCATGATCCCATCCACATGGTTCGTTAGTCTTTAAGGTGCTGCAAAGACTATTAGTTGCTTTTTAAAGTTTTTCCAGTTAAAGACACAGGGTATGTCTAGACTACATGCCTCTGCCGACAGAGGCATGTAAAATAGGCTGCCCAACATAGTCAATGAAGCGGGGATTTAAATATCCCCAGCTTCATTAAAATAAAAATGGCTGCCACGCTGTGCCGGCTCAGCTGATTGTTGGCACAGCGCGGCAGTCAAGATGCGGATTGGTCGACAGGGGAAGCTTTGTCAACCGCTCCCTTATGCCTGTTAATGCATCCCAGAATGATGTTTGCTTATTGTGCAACAGTGTCACACTGTTGACTCATATCTAGCATGTGGTCCACTATGACCCCAAAATCCCTTTCTTCAGTGCTAGACGGTCACTTCCCATTTTGTATGTGTGTATTGGATTGTTCCTCCCTAAGTGGAGCACTTTACATTTGACTGTATTGAATTTCATCCTATTTACTTCAGACCATGTTTCCAGTGTGTCCAGCTCATTTTGAATTATAACCCTATGCTCCAAAGCACTTGTAACCCCTCCCAGTTTGGTATCATCTGCAGACTTATTAAGCGTACTCTCTATGCCAATATCTAAATCGTTGATGAAGATATTGAACAGAACCAGACCCAGAACTGATCCCTGCAGAACCCCACTTGTTATGCCTTCCAGAATGATTGTGAACCGTTGACAATTATGCTCTGAGAATGATTATTGAACCAAGTTACACACCCACCTTGTGGGAGCTCCACCTAGGTTGTATTGGCCTAGTTTATCTATAAGAAAGTCATGGGAGACTGTATGAAATGCCTTACTAAAGTCTACGTGTACCCCTACCACTGCTTCTCCCTTATTCACAAGACTTGTTATCCGATCAAAGAAAGCTATCAGATTGGTTTGACATGATTTGTTCTTTACAAATCCATGCTGTTATGTATCTTATTATCTTCCAGATGTTTGCAGATGGGCTCCTTAATTATTTGCTCGATTACCTTTCCTGGCAGAGAAGTTAAGCTGGCTGGTCTGTAGTTTCCTGATTGTTCTTATTTTCCCTTTTTATGGATGGGAATTTTCCACTCCTTTGGAACCTCTCCTGTCTTCCATGACTTTTCAAAGATGATTGCTAATGGCTCAGCTATACCACCCCCCCAACAGTTCCTTGAGTATTCTAGGATGCATTTTATCAGCCCCTGATGACTTGAAGACCTCTAACCCTTAGCTTTCCAAACAAAAACATACAAAAAAAGAAAAAGGGCAGGGGAGGGAGGAAATGAAGGGGAGAGAAGAGAGAGAGAGAAGCAGTGGAAGGGAGAAAGCAGGGAGAGAGAAGTAGAAGGGGTGTGCAGGAATAGGGATGGGATGGAGAACATGCATTTGCTACTTCCCCTCTTTCACTAGAAAACATTCATGAAAGAGAATCAAAGTATTTACAAAGATCAATAGAAAATATGAATATTAAAGAAATGGAACTTACCAACTTGGCCTCATATAGCTCTGCACTTTTGCCAAGGAACCTGTGAGGTAGAGGCATTGAAGCTAATATTCCATGCTGGACTTTTAATGAGCTTTGACCTTGTTCATCTGCAGCTGATTTGCTACTACAAGGCAAGTCCTCCTTCCCTGGGGATGGATATCTAGAGAGTGACTCTGAACAGCCTGGAGGCAACATTTTCTTCAGTGATAAATATCTGACTGATGACATCTCTCTGCTGGGAGACACATGCCTCACCGGGGAGGCCCCTCGCTCTGGTGGGAGATGCATTCTCGGGGATATCTCTCTTCGTGGGGAAGGGTGCCTGCCGGGGGACAGCTCAAGTCTTGGTGACACACATCTCAGCGGAGAGGACTCCCTTCTTGGTGATAGGCGCCGAGACGGTGACATCCCTCTCCCTGGAGACAGGCACCTCAGCGAAGACATTTCTCCGGTTGGCGAGAAACGTTTCGGTGAAGTTTCGTTTTTGGTTAGTAAGTGCTTTCTAGCTAGCACTGGCCTGCCACTGCCACTCCCACCACCAGAGTCCTTGCCTGGAGACCACTTCCTTCTTGGGGAGGTGTCTTGTGAGGTTGACAGGTCCATAGCTAAGAACATCTGATGCTTTGTAGCAGTTTCCCTTTCAGCAGAAGCCAAATATTCACTGGAGGTCAAAGGTGGCCTATGGAGACTTAAGAAGCTGTGGCAAACAGCAACTTCGCTACTGTCTGCTGACCACTGTGTTTCCAGCCCTGAGGAGGTGGGCCGGTGGCCCCTGCCTACTTGCTGGTTGCTGGAGACAGTATCTTGTGTTAAAGACAATGCTGCCCCGGTGCATTCCTCTGGAGCAGATGGCGAGCTGCCCAAAGGGTGCATTGGAAGGGAGGTTTGTTTTGTTTCTGAAAACTTTACAGGTGGCTCATCTTGGCTCTCCTCTTCCTCCTCATCTTCATCATCTTCATTGTCATCATCGTCATCAGATTCCTCTAAGTCTGAAAACTGGTGCTCCTCAATTGGCTCGGATCCCTCCCTCCCTTCGGAATCTTGGAATACGTCTTCACTGGTTCCTGGGGGGGAAAGCAAACAAACAGGAAAACATCCATGAAGCCTGCAGAACAGACACAGAAATACTGAGATGATTCACTGGCCCCGGAAGGAGCTCTGAGCGGACAAGATGAAAAAGGGCCCTGCTGCTGTCCAGACCCGGCTCATCTTGTGTCTGATGCCTGCAACTGCTTCCTCTCCGGCCTGGGTGTCTGCAATCTCACCCTGGCAGTTCTTTCTATCGCCTGGCCGGCTCCTTGCTTTGACCGAGACCGGCCCACACTATTTCATCCCTCTGCTGGTCCTCCCCCCTGTCGCCCACCACTTCCAGTGCAGCCCTTTAAGGCCCCTTCAAAGCGCAATGCCCTGTTATTTTGGCATAACACTGACTCCAGCCTTTGCCCTGTGGCATTCTCAGCCATCATGTCTGCTGCTCCCGCAAACACCTCCACGCCTTTCCCCAAGCTTGCTGGCAAGAGCCACAAAGCCATGACTGTATCTTCCCTTAAGTCTTTTCTCCGCCAGGGTGCCTACAAAGCTCGACCAGCTAGCAACAGCCAGGAAATCGGTCACCCCTCTCCCAAATGCTTGTTTCTGGTGTTCTCTCACTCTTCTCCTCACTCCCCTTTGCCCGTCTCTTCCTATAGCTGCATGTGGACATAACCAGAGCGGGGCGGCGGGTTTTAAAAATTCCGTCAGCATTTCAAACATCAAAGCTGGCCCTTCCCGAACAAACAAAAATCCGGAAAACACTGAAAACAAAATCTGCGAGTGCCCCCTCCCCCCGTTTTCGGACCAGTTCTAGCGATGATTTGGCATGAGCTCTGTTGGGCAGGGACCGTTTCTGCAGCGCTGTAGAATGCCTACCAATGTAAGGCACTCATCCGTAATATAAATAAAATAAATGCCCACAATGTGACAGGTGCGGGGTTAAAACACACTCTCTAACTGCCACAGGGCTAGACTCACAAAAGAACCTAGACATCTAGGAAATCACCAGAGCCTGAGTGAGTTGCTCAGGCTTCTATACAAGGAACGGAGAAAGCTACGTGCCGAAGAGCAGGACCCACCCAAAGCCACCCGCATGCTCATCAGAGAATCGCCTAAGCTAGTCAATGCGAGCGGAGTTGGCACCGGGTTCTGGGCTGGGGTGCATCCCTCTGCTTGGGATTCTCAGCTGTGAGCCCTCACCCGGAGTCAGGCACTGCAGGAATTTCTTGAAAGAATTTTGGGGGGAGGAGGGTAACCTCATAACTCTTAGCCCAGTTGTTAGGGGGAGAGAGGGGGCTGACCAGGGATGCATGTTACCCCGTCGCTCCTATTGGAGCTGTAAATACACAAATTGTTCTCAGAGTCCTGGCCCTGGATCTGGGGGGATGGCTTGACCCAGCAGGCTACAGAGTCATTCTTATGCCTGCTTCTGCCTTCTCTGATCCATACCAGCCCATCCCATAGTCCAGTGGCTTTGAGAGAGGTGGCAGCTCCCTCTTCAAATTCCTTTTTCTCCTAGGGCAAAGAGGCAACTTGAACCAAGAGTTCCCCACGCGACCCAGATGAGAATCCAAAGCACTAATAAGAACGGCCATAGTGGGTCAGACCAAAGGTCCATGTAGACCAGTATCCTGTCAACAGTGGCCAATGCCAGATGCCCCAGAAGGAGTGAACAGAACAGGTAATCCTCACGTGATCCCTCTCCTGTCATCCATTTCCAGACACAGAGGCCAGGGACACCATTCCTACCCATCCTAGCTAATAGCCATCGATGCACCTAATTTCCATGAATTTATCCAGCTCTTTTTTGAGCTCTGTTAAAGTCCTAGTCTTCACAACACCCTCCGGCAAGGAGTTCTAAGGTTGACTGTGCGCTGAGTGAACAAAAACTTCCTTTTGTTTGTTTTATACCTGCTGCCTATTAATTTCATTTGGTGATCCCTAGTCCTTGTGTTATGGGAACAAGTAAATAACTTTTCCACACCAGTCATGATTCTATAGCCTCTATCATAATCCCCACTTTGTTTCCTCTGTTCTAAGCTGAAGGTATGGGGGAGGGCTGCTCCTTCCTCCCCAAGCACGGTCCCCCATTCTGTGTGAAGTCAGGCACGCTCTGGGTGCGTCTATTAGATTGGGCCTTGCAGGCAAGAAAGGCAAAAGGAGCCCCTATCTTCCTCTGGTTCGTGCAGCACAGGAGCACACAGTGACACAGCGGAGGCAGACCCACAGGTATCTACGTAACTTTTGCTGCAAAAACTTTAGGCACCTTTGGGGTCAGTGGCAGCTGCGGGGGGAGGGTTCTGTAAATGCCACTGGTATCTACAACTGGAACTTAGTGTCACTGTCCTGCCAAGTTTCCTGCTCTGTTGCCACCCTCTGCTCCTCTCTGCCACGGAAGTAAAACATGTTGGCAGCAGACAGGAGCTGTTTTCAGAGAGATCCAAGGGGGACAGCCACTGGAGGTCACTCTTGCTCAAGCCCAATACAAGACAAGCTGGATTTTCCTAGTACAAGCTCTTCAAGCAGGCTATTGAGTATTAACATTCTCTGTTTCTCGGCCTCTTTGTGTGCCAGGCTGCCTGAAGAGAAGCAGGGTCTCTTTGCTAATCCATGTTTGCTATCTCCACGTCTCTCTGCGGTTCGCTCCCAGAACTTTCACTGCCACGTGTGGGAACTGACGAAGGGCAGCTTCCCTGGTCTCCTTTTCCAACAGTTTCAGATGAGGACACCCTGTTTCTCACCTGATCAAACTGATGTTAACTGAACAGCATTTCATTTCATACTGCCATCCGCCAGCAAGCCAGAGGAGCTGGGGAGCTAAGCAGAGGGGGAAAGGTCAGGCCAGACCACCCCTGACTATGCTGGGGTGGGCCTGTCATGGCGATATCTGGGCAAACAATAAAAAGACACTTTGATCCATGGATAAAAGATCCCAGTTCAGGTTACTGTGAGTTGTGGGGTTTGTGAGGATTCAGCAGCTGTCAGGTGCTGGTGAAAAGGGACACTTATTTTAGCACAGATAATTATTCGTCCTAAAGACATACCGAGAAGTACATCATTGGCTCTCCTGGTATTTAAAAAGTTTCAGCTATCCAGTCAGAAAGCAGAAACATGACCATGTGACTTGGGTGACCAATCAAAGAACATGTGTTGTGAATAGTCAAAGTGAACTGCTCACAACCATGAGGATGGCCATTACACCGTGAAACAGGAGGGGTAACGAACGGTTAGCTGAAATCAAGATCCAGCTCTGGATTATTGCTAATCTCGAAGGACCTGAGTTCATAGCAAGTGTTATTCCCAAGGAACAGTCAGAACCGGGTATATTCCCTGCCCTGAAAGGGGAAACATTTCAAACCTCCTTTAGGAGTTAGTCACTTCCTCTACTCTAATGACTTAGGACTGGCAGGCAGTGATGACCAACATGCACCCTGCTGTTTGCTTCCAGCCCTAGGAATCTGCGCCGTTTGGTTTCCTGGCACTGACAGTATCCGGGGAGCACAGCACGGGCTGCAGGACACAGCGAGGGTAAAGCGAACCCATTTCCAAGTGGTGCAGGCCACGTTTGCCACAGAGTGAGTGAGAATTGAGGGGGCCCAAGTGGATTTTGCTCAGCTCTGCTGACAGGCTCCCGCTGTGCAGAAAGAAAGCGTCAAACCCAGCCAAAGGCCAGAGTGTTTCACAGGAGAAATCTGACTCTCTGAACTCAGCAGGACAGGAGGAGGAGGGACTGGCTGCAAGGGCATCTAATGACAATGTGTCTGGACAGTGACACACATCAAAGGCTGCCTGGAGCATGTGAGCTTCATCCTCCATTCTGTATTGCCCCCTGGATCCCGGGGAATGGCACCAGGGTGCAATTGGTGTGAAAGAGCAGAGGATCGGGCCCACTCCTTCTGCTGACAGGAACCAGGAAAGTCCTTTATTTCTCCCGCCCCTTCCATAGAAATAAACCCACCCTGTGAAAAACAGCCAGTGGGAGGGTGGGTGCATCGAGAGGGCAGAGTCTTCCTAGAGGAGCTCACTGCGATTGGCAGTGCCCAGCCCTGCCCTGCCAGCAACGGAACCTACGTGACAGGGAGAAAATCTAGGCTGGGGGATGGAGCTGTGCTCTTCACATCCCATGTGTGGGCAAGTGCTAAGCCCCTCTCAGCCCCCCTTCCATCAGCCCTTGCAGGATCGTCCGTGATTGTCTGGCCCTTCGCAGGGACGCCCGGACGCTACATTTCTGAGCCTCTGAGTCACGATGCAGAATGCGTTAAACTTGGGCACAAGCCCAGCTTTTACCAAAGAACCCCCGGCCCCGAGTTGCTCCAACACCAGGCCTTCCCATTTGCACCTTTACACATTCTGCACAAACACACCCGGGAGGATGCAGGGACTGTGGATTTTTTGTGATTCTAAAATTACATGGATTGCCAGCATCACGCAATAGCGTCCAGCCAGCTGCACATTCCAGCCAGCAGCGGCGCGGCCAACATCAACAGCGGGAGGAGCAGTCCATTCGGAACGCTCATGGATCCCGACCCGGCGCTCTCCTGAATCTCGGCAGGTCCTTTCCCTCCCTGAGCTTAGCAGATGTCCAAGGACTGAATGCTCATTCACAAACAGGCCTGGACACATGATTTAATGAGGGGAGAAGGGGTCTTCCAGCTGACACTCGCGCCAAACGTCTACTAAGCGTTCTCCCAGGTGACCTCTGGGTGAAAGGCAGATTTTTAACAGGGTTTGGGTTTAGCGGTATTTTAAAAAAATGAGACGAAAGGCTGAGACAAATGCAGCCTTCGCGTCTGCTTAGCTCGTTCCTTTTCCTGAGCAGAATCCTCCTTTCAGCTTGCAGCCTTGAATGGCTTTAGAACAGCTCCCACACTGTGCTGCTCACAATACATTACTCTTAACCCTGGATGATCGGCGCAATGAATGCCTGAATGAAATAATTAGTGAAAGCATTCCCTTGAATGACTGAATCGGGCTCTCGCAGTTCTGGCCTTTGCAGCCTACAATTATCTGCTGCACAAATAGGATTTCTGAG